CTTTCAAAAGCTATTATTGCACACAAGCTCTTCATATACACGTTCACTAATGAAGGCTTTTATTTAAAGGCGCACTTTGGATACGTGCACATTGCCTCTATATACATTTTTGATTGTTTCTAAAATCGCATTAGTTCACATGAAATGCGACTTTTAGTAGTTATCCCTACGAAAGCAGGAATAAAGCTCTCCAGGATTACAGTGCACATCTCGCGGATATATATAGGACCGAGCAGCATCCGTTTTAAGACACACGGCTACTGAGGCTTAAGAGGCAATCATTCCTTAGGAAGAGTGCAGGATTCTCGTGCTCTCATTTCCTTGAATTAGAGCAGAATGGAAGTTCGTGTCCCTTCAGTACGAATTTCGATTAAGCCCAGTGCTTTAGGACACTTAAGTTAAATTTGGGAGGTGTTTTTTGCGTTAACCGAATTGCTTTCCCTTGTAGACTCGGAAATGTGTCTTTTCTAATCGGAAAGTGGATTCAGAGAGGGTCTAGATAAATAGAGAATAAAATTTAATTAAATGTAAGATCTTAGGATAAACAAAGGAAGTGGCGACAGTTTCGGAGTTTATCTCGACTTACAGGCAAAAGGAAGGAGTCACCCTGTCTACAATCTCTTAAAACGTTTTAAGTCTAAGACGAAACACCAAAACACCAAACACCGTTTGTTGTCCACTTACACGTTGCGAGTTTTGAGATATTTTGATGTTATTCTGTGCACTGCCCCAAGCACTAAAAATGCATTTAATATGAAAAATACAAAAGAAAAAGGACAACAATAAGTCACGGCCCACCGTCATTTATCCTCCAGCATCCTTTGGATATTCATACAATAACTTTTCCAAATAATGTTTGTATGAGAAGTAGTTCAGAAAGTGGTGCGCTCTGATCTATTTTCCATAGTTTCCGTCCTTGGACCAAGGCGCGTCAATGTATCAAATTTCATCCAAATATTATAAAAATTGCGGACTTTAAGCTGCACACAAGAGGGCAAAACTGACAGACGGATAAACAAGGAGATAGAAAGCAATTCTGTATCGATCGGTATAATAATACGTAAGTCTATCTGGAGTCCCTCTGTATGCTGCATAAATCTGTAAAAACTTAATACAGCACAAGCAAGACAATTATATTCGGTCGTGATCAAGTCTTATATATCCATCACCGCTATCCTAGAAAAAAAAAAAGAAGGGAACTAAGTTTTCATAGTCTATAATATAAAATAATAAAATATTTTTTCTATCTTCAGCATAAAAGTGGGAATTTATATGGGGGGACGCGGAAACACGAAAGTAAAGATGTTCATAGTTTTCGTCATCGTTTGGATCATTCGTAATTACTTTTGCGGGAGAATGTTTACCACAGATCCTACACAGGTGCTCACACAGACAGATAGACAGATGAACGGTTCAATAGGCATTCTGAGTTTGGATAGGAATTTGTTTATTTGATAAGGTTTTTGAAGCTTGCTGCTGTTAATTATAAAGGTATTGAAAAAAATTAAATTTTGACCTACTATAACTTTGGGTAGGCGGCGAATTCTTCTCATTTTCGTGCAGGCAGTTCAGCTTTGCCCCCAAAATATGCGTTCAAGTTTTTGTAGTATATCTGATGCAGTTCATAAGTAATGAGCAAAAAAAAACGTTGTTTTCATACCCTTTGAAAAACAGAGGTGCTCTTGGTTTACGTAGGCGTTACTATAGGCGTGTCCTTTAACCAAACGGGCTTGATTTCAATACCAGCCTGCATGCGAGAATTTCCAATGCTTTTGCAAATTTGAAGTTGACAGCTTTATTTTTGCGGCCAACAAATAGTTTGTAACGGCTGTGACGCGGACGTACAGACAACGAGGCGAATATGCTTAAATCGATTTAGAATTTGATGCAGGTCAATACTTTGTTGGATGTCTGCAGCTTTCTTTTGAGCGATGCAAACGTTTTGACAAAACGAATATACCCTTCACCCTTCGGTGATGGGTGCAAGAAGAAAAGCATCTCGACTAACAATTCTAAGGTCGTGCAAGTGCTGTAGAGTTTTCAATAAAGCCGGTAGCCTTAGGTGCTAATGCTTTAATACTTTGGTCTTTAGCCTTCGCATTTACTTCTCTGACTGATAATAATAATAATAATAATAAGTAAAATTTTTTTTAAATCCTTTAATTTCAAAGAGTGTATAAGGCAAGAAAAATCCGAGATTACTTCTTTTTTTCCCTCAGACCTATGGACAAAACAATGTAGCAATTTTGTTGATTTTCGACCTTAATATATTGAGGATTGTTGAAAAAAAAATTTGAAACTAGTTTTAATTTGCTCGCAAAAAGTTTTTTTTTCTGCATTCGCATTTATTTAACACTTAGTCGGAATCACGTCATTCATATGCCAGCAAAGCGTTAAATATTTTTCATTAAAACTAGTTTACACAGTGACCTATATACAAAAATAAAATTTTTGCACGAATATTTTTCTGTTTTTAATTTAGTTTATTGAACTAACTTTGTCCTGATAGATTTCTCTTCCTCTGACGTGAACGATTTCAACGTAAAAAATGCTTACTTACCATCTTCAAACCATTGTGACGCCTGAAAAAGAAAAATTTAACATGAAAATGGTTGAAAGTAGAGTAACATTTTCCAGTAATTACTCGTAAAATTTTATATTAAAGAATGACTCGAGTTTCGCTAAGTATTGCTTTTTGAAATACAATACGGTTTCTATGGCATCTAGTTCTACTTAGTCTCTCCTCACCACATGTTTGCAATTTTTCATTGATATATTTCTTCCCTTTGTATCATCTCATGTCATCTCATTTTTAAAAGAAGAACAATATTTTGCGAGGAAAACGGTTATTGGTTTCTATAAATCTATATATCGATTATTGACAAAGCGATATCTTTACCACGACACTCGGTTATTCACTTACTACCATTCCTAATTACATTATCAATACTTGGAAGTTTATCCCTTCAATTCAGGTTATCGCTCGGGTTATCGCTTTAGCGTCAGTTTCGTTAACTTACTCATTCATTGATTCTTGTTGCGTCTCTCAAATCCAACCGAGCCTGAATTTCTCTTCCTCCTCGCTTAGAACATGTTCAGGTTTAATTGTGAGATATTGGAAAACGCTCTCGTAATGAGTAAAAAATGAATACAAATTGAAGGAATCTTCGCTGGTGTAGTTTGATGATCACTTTATTCTTCGAATACCCCTTTTATATGAAGACTTGATTTGAAGTTTGTATATAAGGTGCAGTGGTAACACGACACCGCCGTTTTCGAAGACAGAGTGCAAGCAGTGCAGTAGGTTTTTGAACAAAGCTACGGCTTCTTGATTTGAGAATAGTATCCTTTAGTATAAGACATAAAGCGTGTACGACATGGTTCCTTGCAGCTTTGAACGAGTACAGTTGCCTGCCAAGGTCAACGCCATTTGGGAGAAACCTTACTTCTTCTTCTTCTTACATCGAAGGATAGAGCTGCAAAATTTTAACCAATGAGACTTGAAGTTTAAATAACCATATAATTATAGAGCCTAGAGGAACAAATGCTGCCAACGATAAGGTTGAAGATCTATGACGGACGCATTTGCTTGGAAGGAGACAGTGTGGTTGACTGGGCTGGATATGGTTTGCTCCAGGCAAATGAAAGGTGATGTAGAAAACATTAACGACAATAATTGGCGCAACTGACAGACAAAATATGGACTTGATATGAAATTTTAACCTAGAATGTCCTACCCTTCTCATTAATATCAGCAGATATTACTCCTTCAGAATGCAACGATTTTCAATTTTTCAATTGTTACTTGGTCGAATACTTCCCTTCTTTTAACGATACCCCAGTATGGCATGTATTGCTTTAAAAGGCCAGGTGCTCTTTCCTCAGGCTACGGACAATATTTCCAATAACAAATGTGTAACAACAAGGCCTCGAATTTTAAAAAAAAAACCAAGTAAATAAATGCCGGACGCAGAGTCAACAGCTAGTCTAAGCCGTATACAAAGCGAGGTACGAACTATATATCAAACAAAATTATCTTTACTGTATTTTGGACTTGGATGTCGTACAAATAGCAGTAATGTGTGCGAAAAGGTTCAGTTAAAACCAAATATAACCGCATTCCGCATCCATTTAAAAAAAAATTTTAAAATATTCATGACCAAATGTACTGGGAACAATAACTGGAGTCTGTTCCTGCACACAATGAGTGCAGCAGAAGGGTATTCCAACAAAAAGGAAAAGATTCTCTTTTATCAGAAAAAAGAAGATTCGGTTTAATCGCACCTATCCCTAATGGGAGAAAACCAATCATAGAACTGAATTCAGCTTGGAAAAGGTTTATGAGTTTCTTCAAATTTGTTGCAAGAGATAATTAGAGCCTACGATTAGAAATGTTTCACGAAGTACTGGCCTGTAGGAAGGGGCAAAGGTAGCGATATTATCGAAATTGAAGAAGAGGAAAGAGGCCCCAAGTCTAAACTTCTTTATATATATGTATAGCCCTTCAGTCTTAGCATTTTGTCACATTGGCTTTACTTATGAAAAGGGCTTCTTTGCCTCCATTGTAAAATTCAATGAAAATTTTGCATTAAATTTTTAAAGGATAAAGAGCAAAAAGAAGTGCTGAGAGGTTTCACACCCAAACAGTATGCAGCTTATGCAACTAACTAATCGAACATTTCAATTTCGTTGAAAACTATTATTTTTATGTAAATATTAGAAAATTTGAAAATTTCTACAATCAAACCGTCATAAATGCAATTTTCGATATAGAATTGAACGCTTGTGGCCGCTTTGGTGGCGATGCTGCTTTGGACTACATAATAGACATAATTCAATTAAGCATGATGTGTTGAGAAAAAAAAGAAAAAAAAAAACGGGAGAGAAGAAGAAACCAATGGTTTGTGTGCACTAGTAGTTTTTTTTTTTTTTCAAACGTCGACAACATCATTAAAATAAATTGAAATTTAGCTACATTTTCAATCATTGCGTCCATTCCAGTTCATTCAGTTAGTTAGCAGACGAGTGCTGTATGCCGCGCGGAATTGTAGATAAATTGAGAGAGATTTTTTCTTTATTTATTTGTTTATTGAGTTTATTTATTTTTTGTTTTAATGAAAATTATATAAAAATGTTTTAAATTTAAATTCAATTTAACGGAAATGTATGCGAAACGAAATCGAATCTATATATAGTCGTAATGATATTTCAAAATTTATTTGATGAAAATTTAATTAAGCATATTCTAGTACTTATAACGCGATCTATAAGTTGTGCGTGTGTGTGTGAGTTTGTGAAAACTGAATGTTTCATTTTCCGTCAACAACGCGACTCAAATCGTCATCATAAAATGCGGGAAAATCGTGAATTTACTTATTTTGTGTTATGTATTTTGTTAGGCAGTTGGTGTCAAACTATTGCCACGTATCCCCAAAGTGTTACCGAAAACAACAACAAAAACAATAATAACAAAATTGCAACTTTAAAATTTAACGATAAAAGTAACGCTACAGTATATGACTATAGAAGGAACGTAGGCGTTGCCGAAATTATAACCAAAGCGGAAAATGTGCATTTTAGCCAAACAACTGAAAATGAAAATTTCACTCGAATTTTAGAAAATGCATTGAATACACAACGACAACAACAACAACGTCAGTATCAAAGTAAAACACTTGCTTCATTACCAGCAACTAATGCTAATGCGCATAGCATCGATAATAATAGTAATAATAACAACAACAATAACAACAACAGTAATAATAATAATAATGATGTCAGTAATAATGATGCAAGCATAAACGATTTTCATGGGCATTCTGACTTTATGCAAAACAATGGCGATGATTTGATTTTTGCCATCTATTCGTCCACTTTTAAGTTAGACCAACGACAATCGAATAGAAAATCTTCTAAAGTTTTTCAACAAATTGATTTGTTAACATCAACGTCACCAACTCTACGACCATCACCATCACCATCACCATCATCGTCATCATCGTCATCATCGTCATTAGCATCAACATTAGCAACATCCGTTTTAGAGAGGGATTCATTAACAACTGCATCCGTTACATTGCCAAGCAATAGTACTAAAGTTGATGATAATGTCGCAATTGATGTTGTTGATGGTCGACCGCATAAAATTGAATTATCTACTAAAGCATTTGATATGACGATGACGATGACGATGACGACGACAATGAACTCTAATGACAATGCAAACGCCCCAATTATTACACCCCTTGATTTAAGTGACTTTTTGGCTTTAATACCCGCTCAGCGGGTACAAAACATTATACGCTATTACTATCACAATGATCCGGAAGTGAAGCGTGCCTACAGTTTTATGTCTAGCTCAGAGTTTGCCCGACTCAAAGAGCATATTATTGCTGTGCCGGAAATGTCAGCATTTTTACGCTATTTAAATAATAGCGGTTTGGATCTAGTCAAATTCGTTAATGCCATCGCAAATCTCACCAACAAGATAGATGATGCATCACCACCATCCTATCGGAATCACAATAATGAACTAATAACTAATCACGATGTCGTTACTGGTAATTTTTGGACAGAAACAATTTTACCTGAAAATATGAATTTTAAAAAGTTGAAAAGATGCACGAGATAATTGCCGACGAAATATGACATTGAAGTCAAGTTCATAAAATAATACAATATATGTTCGATAAGTGTTAGGCCTTTACTGACTGGCATAACACTCCTTATAACTACGATCAGTTATTCTATAGGTCAGATAAATCGGAAGAATGTATGTATACACATGCATACATATATGTGTATATATAAACATATACATGTATGTGTATATATATGTACAATTTATCTAACCTAGAACCAAATAGGGCGTAGCTTTTTTGATTGTTATGCCAATCAGCAAAAGCATAACGCTTACCGACTTAGTGTCCGATTTATCTAACGTAGAGCACGCTTGGTCGTGGCTGTAAGAAGTATTACGCCAGTCAGTACAGGTACAACAGTTACCGATTAGGCACAGGCAACGACTATTTTAGCAGCCGCTCTCTATAGCTTATTTTCCTTTCTTACTTCTTGGTGACCACGACCGCCTCCCATTACGTGTATAACTTTGTTTACGCAAAGTCTTTTTTGCCATTCGGGATTTTATTGCAAAAAAAAACTGATCATACGTTTACTGTTCAAAACCTTGTCCATCGTTGATCACTACTTTTTCCCATCTTTCGGGCAGCGTAAGGATCTGAAGTCGAAAAATTTGCTTCATATGAAAGTGAATGCTGGTCAGTACAGCCGCATGCCATTGATCAACAGAAGTAACGGCTGGAGGGAGCAGTGTCTAGAGAAAACGGCGTTTGGAGCAAGATTCCCCGCTTCAAAGTCCAAGGTATCGTCATCCTTTAAAATCACTTTGTCGTCTCTCCTGACGAATACCGGTCGTTCAATGCTCAACTTTAATTGCCTTCGATTGTCAGTGATTGCTTCAGCCGGTGTTGATAGCTCATAATACACCGCACCGAGCTAACCTCGCCAAATGCAGATTATGACCCTTAACCTGCAAATATTTTTATTTTTTTTTCATTAGTTGGCCAATCACTACCCTCTATTCGTGTAATACGGTGACGGTAAGCTGTGCTGCGTGGAGATTTAAACTCGCGAATACAGATTTCGTACTCGTGTTTTTTACCTGCTCGGCTATTCATGTTTGGTTAATCTCCACACATTGTCTTGCTAATAGCGGTCTCGCAATAAGTATTTGAAAGCATTCGACGACCCTCAGCCGCACATTACTTCATATTGAAATTCCCCCCAAAAGGGCGAGAATCTGCCCCATGAACGGACATTTTCACCCGAAAACAACTTTACAATGCGGAGATAAATCGACAGACGTCTTGGTGGGGTTTATTTTGAGAAAATCCCAACCTCTTTCGGATGAAGTCTGCACCTACCTATTTCCACCATCGCATACCATTTAAGCCATTTATGCGATAACGGTGGAAGGGGAGTTACACACAAATCATTCTAAGTGTGGGCAAACATTTCATTGGCCTAAGCGCTATGTGAGAGCGAGCTTCCCCCGTAATCTTTGAAGAGGCTGCTTAAATATTTTGTGGAATGACGTTTGCACGCCAGCAAACATGCGCTGAATTCTCAAGTCATAAAAAAACAATAACAGGTGGAAAAAGCTCATAGCTATGGCTAGATTAACTGAGAGAGGCAAAAACTATTCCTTTTAGTGAAATTAGAAGACTAGGCGAAAAAACCATTGTTGAGAAAACCAAAAGATTTTTTTTAGTTCTTTTTTTTCAACTGCAGTAAATTTCAATTGCTATGAGAAGAATTAATCTTTGCTTTGAGCAAACTTTTCATTTTCAAACTCAAAATATTGTAAACCAATTATGTGTTTCATACGCTGTTCGCTTAGTTGGTTCGCTTGGCTAAAAAGACCCATTCAAATTTGAAAATATCTTGACTGCGTTTTTTCACAGCTGTATTTATCCAATTTTAACTACATGTAGAATTATACATATACATATATCAATTTAATAATATCTATATAACAACGCGTTTTGTGCAAATATTGACGCGTAAAAAAAGGAAAATTCAAATATTTCTCATTGACGTTTTTTCTATCGCAGATGTTGTTGAATTTGAACAAAAATTGAGCTCTTTAATGACATTGAAAGTTAATGAAACAAACGGTACAATAACCGCGACCGAAACTTCCTTAATATTTGCGGACTCAAGTACAACGGGAGATGCATTAACAACAACAACCATTGAAGAGCATTTTAACGGATTACATGGCTTATTCGATAGCATTTTGGAAGCATTGCCGCAAGATCAAATTTTAGCAACGTTCTTCGATAAACTCGAAACAAATGAAGAATTTTCAAAACTATTCGATGACATTGGCAGCCCTGCGTTTGCAAAAATATTAGAAAATATGCAAGTGAGTAGCACAGAAACCTTATCTACATATCTATAGATTATTCGATAGGAGGAATGCTTACGATTTTTCTTGTTTTTTTTTTTTTTTTTTTTGCTCCTCCGTGGTTGTATGTTGTTCGAAGTTGAGAAATAAGCAAAATTTTGGAGCATATGGTTTATTTGTACAACAAATTTCGTCCCTAATTCCCCGAACATATCGAGAGCTGTCGGCGGCACATTTCAATTTTTGATAGCTAGTAAAAGTCCAGATCGTTATTTATTGTACTCATCGCATCAATCATATAACGTGAAGGTGTGCAGCCTTTCTAAGGTATTGAAAAAGGCATCAAGACTATACAGTTCAAAGCTTGGATCGATTGAGGCATTCGCCATTATAGGCAGAGATTCGTCCGGCAGATAGATAAACCGACTGACAGATATATATACATTTTTTTTTATTATAAGACCTGCCCTTAGGGAATGTCTGCTATCCGTGAGGAAAGAGACAGGGCAACGGCCGAAGTCTTGCAGGTGTGCCTTTGCTGAGCAGTCACTATAATTACGATCAAAGTAAACTCTACCGCGTTGCGATTTGAACCCTCGAACACAGGCTTGGCAGTCGCCATTCTTACCTTGTCGGGTGCTTACGTTTACGTATGAGAGAGAATTTCTTTTTGCAACTTTTATATATTAAAATGATGTACATCGAAGATATGCCCTCTGATTACTTATGTATTGTTAATCAAATTTAAATTTTTTGACCTCAGCGCATCCTGGTACATCAACAAAGCTCAAAGGTCCTTACATGCCTGCATCTGCATTTCGAGTCGATTATCCAAGTAAAAGGGGTGCAAGAGAACTATCTGATAGACTTAGATAGAGTGCTGTAGCCTAAATATAGTGAGGGGACAAGTAAAAGTACTATGGTGACCTACGATGTACCATTAAATACTCTACTCTACCTACAGATATGCATATATCAACTTTTGAAAATTGGGCGTTACGATCTGAAGCATTTTCATTATCATTCATCGCTAGGCCAAGTTCCATCAGCATATCAGACTTCATAGAAAAATCTTAAAAATTGCGATCTGCGGATTGAACATGAGAAAGCGAGGCAGACAGGCGGACAGACAAGCTTAAGTAGATTGGGAAAATGACTTAGATATAATTCTGAATCGATCGCTGTTATAAGAAGTAGGTCTGGTATATCTCAAATTCTTCTGGGTGTTACGTACATTCCTGCAAACGTAACGGATTGTTGTACAATAAGTAGTGCGGGATATAAAAAATTTGCATTGCAATATGAATACAAGTAAAGTAAGACGGGTTTCCTCGATTTTTTTGAAAACGGCTAGAAATATCATTTTTAAGAATTTTAAAGCCTATTTTTAGGCATTACATAAGAAATAAAAGTTGGCAAACTTTTCGGTGATGGGCATAAAATCTGCATGAGTTATCGCTTTGTAAAATTTCTAAATTTTTTGCTTTAAAATAACGTAACGTTAAAATATATCTTTCTTTTTTCTTTCGTGCACAGGACTCGTTGCCATTGCGCCACTTGATTTTCACACTACATAATAATGACATTTATGTTATGAAAATGGTGGATTCATTGAAGTCGTATTTCTTTTTGGGAACTTTCTGAAGAGAAGTTTCGCATACACAAGCAAACGCCATTAAAAGTCGAATTCCGGCTATAAAGTCAAAGAGCCACAATAAGTGCTGGCAAATGGAAAAACTAACAAAGGCAACTGTAACTGTTGCTGTAAAAAAGGTTCAATGTTTAACAAAAGCAATTTCTATTCATATATTATTATGTACAATAAGTGTTCTTTTATATAAAAGGAAAATAAAAATAAAAAAACTTTTTTATTTAAATTTTAAACAGTCTCTGACCTTTAAGCAAATTTATAACAACAAATGAAGCAAATGATTGAACAAAGCAAAAACAAGTTTTAAGAATTGTTTGTGTTCTTAGGGATATGCAGTCACTTTTCGATAGGCAATTATTGAGTAATAAAATTTTTCCATTTTATATATCACCTTTAGATTATTGGGCTGAATAAATTTTTCTTTGAGTTGCGTGAAGATGTCGTTATAAGAGATATGAATGGTTTATGCTTGACAATCTTTCGTGTAAAAAAAGGAAATGTATATATGCTAAAAATGTAATTAAAATAAGCAAAAACACACTGTAGTAGAACATAACTCACCATTAAATACCCTACATTAGTTTGTTTAATAAAGCTATTCACGTGACGACTTTTCAAAATAAGATATTATTTAGATTGATCACAAGAAAACAAAACGGACAGATGGACAGACAAACTCAGATCGATTTAAAATCACCTTTTCAATACACTCGATATAATACAAGGCTAGTTTAGAGCATAATTACATATTTATTTAACAAATATTTTAGTTCCTCAAAATTTTGTGAAACTTTCCTCAATCATCACTCTGGCGGTATGCTTTCAAAATTTTATTCTCTTCAAACAAAATCTTCAAAAATTTCATAAATTTTTTATATTTATGTGTTATACGTTTTAGGTTTTGTAAGTTTGTTAATCTGTATGCAACATAATATGTATGTATGTATGTATGTATGGAGTATAATAAAGCGTGTTTTATTGCTTTGTGACTGTTATGCCATATCCGGCTTTAACCTAAACGTACTTCAAGGTGTGGATGGTTGGGCAAGAAAGCCTAGACATGTATGAGTTTGCAGGATTGCATTCTTGCGTATGTGAGACAGAGGACTATTTATCAATATATTTAACCTGAACTGCTTAGACATATCAAAAAGTCTTGACATGCATGCGCAGAGAAGGCGATAAATTACAAGTAAAGATGAAAACGTAGAAATGGAAAATTTGCACATTTTTCAAAGTCAGAAAGTGAGGTTAGGAAATCAACTGAAACGTATTACTAACAAGTTTGGCCTTCCCTTTCATTGTTTGAATGATTTTCGTTTGAATGATTCCTAATTGTGGAATAGCAGGGGAAGACAACAGCTTCAAGTACGTATAAACTAAATGCGGATCGGATATACACCTCCTCTTGAGTAGTATAACCAAAATTGAGAAGCAGTAAAATTAATTACCTCATTAGGAAAACTTCTAATATGTATTCATATTTCATTCAGATCTTGCTTACATTAACTGCGGAAAAGCCTATCTACTGATTTTTAACGTGATTCCAGCATTATGCCCATAAGATGAATCTCTGTGCTTTGATGCTCATCTCTGTGGCCAGCTCGTTTCATAATTTGCGAAAAACTGTTATTCAATTACGAATCGAAGCTGAATTGTGCCTATGTACGCAACACTCGGAACCGATCGATTCCGAAGGTGACAGAGTCTGGGTTGTCCGCCCATCTGACTTGTTTAACTGCAATTTTTGTGAATTTTGATAAAAGTTGGTACACCGGCGTATTTTGACCCAAGGAAGGACGTTATTGAAAATGGTTCGGATCGGATCACTTTTTCGACCACTTCCCATATAACATTACATTTTGAAATTATTATGTTATATATGAATAACTGCAGGGTGCTGTATGGTGTGGAGCGCTTTATGGCGGGCGGCCCACTATAGTCTTTTTACTTATTACTCAATAATATTGTTAATAAGAGAGGCTGCCTGTTTGAAATGGGAAGAGCTTCCAATCTTTATGCCAAATTTGTAGCCGATGGTAATTTTAAAATAAGAAGAGTTAATTGACTTGGACTTTAAATGGCCATGTATTTGTGTAATCTAAGTGATTTGTATCACACGGATTTATAGAGAGAGTCTGCTGTACTTTAAATGAAAGGATGAAACTAAGTAAACTTTAAGCTTTTCGCGATGTCTCCTACATATGTGACTGCTCGCAATATACTTTTTCAGTTCATTGATCGGCAAGAAACAGTTTAAGGTCTACCATCTTTAGCCTGGCGTAGGGGTTTTATCTTGGAGGCTTAAGCGAAATATCAGACAAAGTTCTTTTTTCCTTTTAGAAGGAGAACAGTTTTCTTCTTGCATATAATTCTCTATTAGGCCCATATTGCTTAGTTGTGATGGTACAGCATAATACCAGAGGGATGGACAGTGTGCTTAATGGCCTGCCGGGAAATATGGTAGGTCTGACGGCCGGAGCCACTTCGTCTATGTGCAGAAAAATCTCTACAAAATCTGTATAGAGTTCGAGTAAGTCATTAGATGAAAAGTCAAGAAATTGTGCGAGTCCATGAGGGTCAGGTCATTCAAACAGATATTGCTCGTAACGAGTACGATGCACTTCCCATCACTTTACCACAAAAATGCCCTCTTGCTTGACTGCTGTTTATGCTTTTTCGAGCAGTATCGTGGTGGTTGTGATTGCCGCGATGGAGACTGTACTCAAAGTAAAGAAGATATGATAATCATTCATTTAAACGTCCTAGGGTCTTTTGTGCATTTGGCCTTTCAATTACTTTCTTTCCAACCTTCCAAAACTGAAACTATTAGCAACACTATCTGCAGATAAATTTTTCACTTCACTGTGTATGAATAGAGGAGCTGAACGATGAGTTAAATATATTTTAAATGAAACGTTTGAGAACTTCTGTACTGGACATGTGCACACGTTTATCCGTTTAACGGTTGAGATGAAGGCTACATATCAGAGCCAAAAGTTGCCAAAAAGAGGGGAAAAAATGAAAGCAACCATAAAAAATGCGTTGATATAAATACTCCTTTGGATGGTACTTTTATACGTGCTTTAATGTCAAATCGTTAAATTGTTATTTATGTGCTTGATCAACGAATAAAGAAAAACCGAAAATGGAGTTTCGCACATTTTTGCGGTAACGTTTGAAAAATAACATGACTAATATTGCTCTCTGGCATCTAGACAGAAAAATGCAAACATTTGTTCTAATTGAAATTTTATTACATATCGAAATTACATAGCCTTGGGGTGCTTTAAAATGGCGCATAACAGCACACACGGCCACACACACACGCTGTAGAACAGGACATAAAGTGAAACAACTCCCGGGGTATGCGATGAGAAGAAAAGAAGAACGACAATTGCTGCTATTAGCGTTCATGCTGTGCTGGAAATCATTCATCACTTTATCGCTGATAAACTTATATAAAAAACTAGCAAAAAAAAAAAAACATATTTATATATACATATATAAATAAATATTTTCAACGTTTGAATTTAATTTTCACATTTTTCAATTAACATCTGCTTGAGATGACAGTTTCTCAGAGAAGTGAATCCAATGAGTAGCCTTGCCCTGCCTTTTGAGCTGCTGCTACAAGATTTACCCCTGATTGTGCTTACTACCAGATTTTGATAGCAGAAATATCAAAATTTCGATTATCACTATGTCCCAACGCTTCACTACTTATGGCGCTTAAAAACCATTACCCTCTCTCCAAAAAAAGGAAAAAAAGAGCAAGTAAGAATGTTAGAAGCGGGCAAAGCCAACCATTAGATACTCTACACACCTCCGCCTCGCAGAACGCTCTCTTATTGGAGGATCATCAAGCGTTAACGTTACCTAAATTTAGCAAACTTAATTTACTTATCACGAATCTCATCATTTACTAGCCGCTTCCGTCACAACAACCACTAACTAGACTTTGCCGTCATAAAAAGTTGGCTTTCATGGCGACTAATGGTGACTAAGAAATAGACCCATGTGATCCTATGTGTCACTATGGAACAATTTTCTTCACAAAATATTAAAAATTAGCATCATTTGGCATCCAAAGCCTTTTTCATTAGATTGCTTATAAGACCTCCGCGGTCCAAATTCGGTAAAGTTAATTTTTATTTTTATGTCAAATTATCCCTGTGAACAAATTTTCATCAAAAAGTATTGAAAATTAGACCTTTTCAATATGCAGATGCGGTTTCCGTAGTAGGGTTGTATGACAAGAGGTTCAACAAATTAATTTACAAAGCCGAAACACTGTTACTAAGCGACTTTTTTTTCAAGAAATTTTGGCAATTGGAAGCGTTCGAAAAAATAATCCGATCAGATCGATTTTCAATATTATTCATCCTTTGGGCAAATCCGGGCGCTGTATCAGATGTGATCACACAATAGCTCGAAAATTTTAATCCACAGCTTGAATACATGCACAGATTTAGAATCATTTTCGGAATCGATCAGCATAATAACAGATGGGTCTATCTGAAGCCCTTCTACGAGGGACGCACGCACTTGATAAATCCTGTTGATAAATCCTTTTTAAGATAAATTCGGTGAAGAGAAACACATTTGTCAAAGATTTCACATTTTCTAAACTATAATTGACATGCTTTTGGGGCGCTGTAGATGTAAGTACTCGTCCGTAAAAGAGAAGATATACTAAATATACTCTTCAGTACGCAAAAAGTGCAAAACATGACGTTAATCCGAACGGCCAACATGGAATAAACGTTGACTAAATTGAATGGATGAAGATAGAAAACAAGACAAATCTTTCATATACTGCAAGCTTCCCCTAAGCGGCCAAATGATACAAATAGAAAAAAGCCGCTAGCTCTGATGCTCCCGCTTTTAAGTCAAGCATGCTCACTCCACCAATTTGCCTTCCTTCGTGTTTGCACGTGCAGGGAAACACCCACAAAGTGCCGGTCAGACTGAAGGAATATTGAAAGCCCTAAGCTATTCCCGATTTTGTGGCTCCTCTTTCAAAGCAAAAATCATCCCAACAGCTTCTAACTGACAATATCCGGAGATAGAAAGAAAACGACAGATTTCTACAAATGTTTTTAATGGAGGTTGTTAGGTGTTTAAAGTTCGCTCCAAGGCGATTATGTGCTTTGCTTCTTTTTTTTCTTTTTGTTCTTCTTTTGTTTTCCGTTTTGCCTTGGTTTTTATTAAAATCTTTTATGATTTGGTTTTTTAAAAATTGCAACGATCCTGTTAATTTATTGTTCGCAGCTACACTCGATAACTTAAAAAGATGGATCACTCGGTTGCAACAACATCCCACAAGCCCTTAAGTAAATACATGAAATATTGTTGGATGGCAATCCCATCTGAAAAAAAATAACAAATCCTTATGAGACATTGAAAAGTTTGGAAACACAATTCATCCAAAGTCACATTCGAGATTTGCAAAACAATGAAATTATTTTTTTTTTTTAACTTTTTTGTTTTCGTTTTCTTATCGTTTCATTCATTAGATAGCGCAGACGCAAAGTCATTTTCAATTATGTTAAGTATTTCTATTTCAAATTTATTTTATGCCCAACCACTGCTTAGAGCGCACACACACACACACAGGTATATAGTTCTAATTACTGCACATCGCTGTTTATTCTCCACTCTACCGGCCGGTTAGGATTCAATCATAGTTGCGTGCTTACAAAAATCCAACACGCTGTTCAATTTCTTAGCGAGAAAATCCTTTATAGCATGGCCGCTGCTGCTGTTGGCAATGCCGATCGACACCATTAGCAGCACATAGGTAGCTAATGATAAGGAGTACTTATGGCGTCGCACCCAACAAAAGAAACCTCGCCTGGATCGTCTTTGCTTAGATCCCGCACTAGCAATAAAGAATATATAACGTATACGTAAAAGATCTGGTGACATTACGTCAATATTGACGCTCTTCTTATTATTTTCATTGGTGTGAAAATGCACCAATTCCGAGCTATAAGCGAACTCACAAAGCGCCGCGCAAGAAATCATTGGACCGCATTGCGAAGCTCCCCATCCAGGGCAGGGCGGACTTAACTGCAGACTAGTATTGAAATCGTTGGTTAGCTTAAAAATCCTTTTCGGAGTCGCTTGTAGTCGGAAGCCGTTGTTGATAACGCTATAAAACGTATCCAATTTATTGCCATAAAAAGCCAAAGTATTTGGTTTGTCACCAGCACGCTTAGGCAACTCTTCGAGCGGATGAACGCTTGACGGTGATATAACCTCAAAAGCATACGCAGGTCCAGTTAGTTGAGCTTTCGCATCAATGCTATGTATCAAGGAATTAATTTCCTCCGGATCAAGTGAACGTAAATTAAATCCTTTCAACTCAACTAATACCCAATGCAAAAGTTCCATAACATCTGCGTCAAGTTCATCGAAATTTTTCTCAACAATGTTCTGATACACCACTCGTAATTTAGGCGTATCGTTGATTACGGTAACTAAAGCATCTATATCGCAAATTGAATGTTCTTCCGTGTAACGGGATGGACATGGTATCAACTGGCAGTCGTAACGGTAGCTTAGAGCCGCGGCGACAAACAACGTCCATTTAGCGTCCGCAGCCAATATATCACTTTCCAAAACGGAACGAAGCGCTTGAATTTTATTTAAGAAATGTGCAGCCATCTCTAAACGCTGCGAATTTCCTTCAAATTCATCATAGGAGAAAGCACTTTGAGCATCATATTCCGATGATTGCAGCAATGTGTTATCGTCGTGACTTGACGATGGTTGCTTATGATGTTTAGAGTTACTTGACTGCGTCTTCAACGTAGCCAGGCTGTCGCCATCTTTCGTTATCGTTGTATTACTGGTCGACATTTTCTATAATTGCTCTCATCAAAAAATATATATGTGCAAAGTCGTGTACGTGGGTATATAAATAAATTAATTAAAAAGTTCGGAGGAGAGAAAAAATTTTTATAATTTAAAAATTTTTATTTTTTATTTTCCAATTCTACTACGGTTTCATTGGCACTTAAAAAATTTTTTTCCGTTGCATATACATATTCATGAATTTTACTGCTTTGCTTACTAGGCTTTTATTTGTTATTTTTATAGTTATTTTCAGTAGCGTGAACAATTATTACTCTTGGGATTGATTTTAAGCAAATGATTGGAATAAACGAATTATTTTGAAATTAAAGTAAATTTCTTTTTACTTCATGTCCCAAAAAAAAATCGCCATTCGTTCGGTGTGGTAACGGTTTGCAGTTTGCACGAAAATATGAAAACCTAAACCTAGAAAAAAAGTTAATTTCTTAACCATTCACACTTCCGTCCATGCTTTCACAGGTAAAATTTGTAAGAAGCGAATCATCTCATACGTAGTTTAGACCTATCTTCAAACGACAGGGAAATCTCGTAAGAAGCGAATAATCTTATTCCCTCATTAAGCCCTATGTTCAAAGAAGGACAAAAAGTATTACCGGAATGTTGCTCTTCGCAAGCCAAGGGGCAAAATATTTCTTAGTTCCAAATCTCATGCCCTATCTCACTATATTTTTGCAAGGGTGTATTAAGTTTGGGTACAGGTTGCAACACCCAGATGGACATGAATTAGATCGACTTTATACTATATCGGTCGATTTAAGATCTCCTGTCCGTCCGTCTTTCCTATTCTCTTGTACAAATCGCAACTTTTAGGATGTTTTGATGATATTTGGTGCAATGAAATATTTCGAGCCAAGGAGGCGTGTTAGAAAAAAAAATGGTTCAGATCGGACCTAATTTTCATGAATAAATGCATTAAACGAAGTTATGTTGGGTATTTAAAGACGGGACGTGGCTTTTAATTGGCTATTCTTATAACTCATTCATTGCTCATTATTTCGCATATCTTGGACCTGCAGAAAAATTTGAAAATCTAACACCAAACAAGAGATTAATCTCTTGACTCCTCATTGATGCTTTTGCAGGCAAATTTTTTAAAAAACATATTATCTTATACGCAGTTTAGACCTACGTTCAAGCAAGGAGAAAGCATACACTTGTGCTGGTGCTCTTCATAACCATTATTGGAAACCAAGGTGGAAGCAATTTCGTAGATCCCTCAAGTTACTAAAGACATACTTATAACTAATCCATTGCTCACTATTTCATTTACTCTACAACGTGTGTTTTTGTGTCCTTTTTGAAAGACTTTGAACAAAGTCTTCTTTTATTTGACACTTGTGCAGTACCAAAGGGAAATCATAAAAAAAATTTTTTATAATTTTTTTTTTTTTTTATAAAAGCCACACTCCTCTGTGGATATATCAACTAAAACCTGACGGTGATTTAATGTCAATATGTTCGAACAAGGACTCCATACAAAAGAGTTTTTATCTGTTTTCATTGTTTAACAATAACGAAAAATAAAAATATCGCTACTGGTTTTAGGACGCATCTTGGATACCTACACGGAGATCTACAGACGTGAAGATAGGAGAAGCTATGAAGTAGTATTGCGATGCATATAAAATGATTATATAAGAAGACATTAATGTTAGTTTAGTGAATCGACCCCGCCAAAGGAATTGTTTAGAGCAGATTTGGCTGAACTTTTGCGGCAGGCGATGTTGGCACAAATGAACAAATGAAGTCAAACTAGCCTCTGTGGGCCGTCACCCTAATGAGGACGAACTCTTAGCGATATCGATTTGATTAACTGAATGTTGTAAGCTGAGTGAAGAAACTACACCATACCTGGCTTGAAAACGCTCTGTTTTATCTCCTTATCAGGAAAAGATGGATGAACAGAGATACTTAAGCCTCAAACTGAACAAAAATTTGCACATTTCTTCAGTGATTACTCGTGTACTGGACAAATGAGTTGACGCAACCAGCATACGTTCAACTAGCATAGCAATGGATAGAAAAAGGATATGAAAAAAAGCAAATTTCCAGAAAATCAATTTCTCTGTGTTCCTCATGTTAACAATACGAATCACAAATCTGATTAAAGTGTTTTCAAATTGACGGCTTCAGTGAATACAACTGTTATTAATGGCTAACAGACGTTCGCCATCTCTACACACGTTCGCACACGTGAATAATGGCTCAAAATGTTTTGTAACTTGAAACATTTTATAAATAGATTTTTAGGCTGTTTTTTTTTTTTGCACTTGTATTTGTATTTATTGACAAATATAAACTTGCAAGGATACACAAACACACATTAATATATATATATATATAAATATATATATGCATATTCAATATATGTACACATATAATATATATGTAGAACGTATGCAGAAATGTTCGTAAATAATTTATAGAAAAATAAATGTATAAAGTTGAAAACCAATGTATTTGTTGTAAATGAATTACTTTGATGTGCATATCACAGGGCTTTCATTCAGGTTTGGGCAATTAATCAATTTGCCTTTGCCAGGGTTGAGATCACTGCCAATGGGAATTTTCGCTTTTTGTTATAGTCAGCTTTTTATCAAACAAACGTTTTCCGATTGTCCGTTTACTCGGATAATTTAATTTTATTTAAAAGAATTTTTTTTTATTACTTATTATACACACACATAACTTATATTAATTTAAGCAAAAATGAACATTTACTTGGCTTGAGTCAAGGCTCATTCATTCGATGTAGCGCTCAAGTATGTCAAGTATATAAATACCGGTTTGCCAATAATTGGCATTAGTGATCTGTAAAGCTATTCTTAAATATTTGTTATAGTTATTATGACTCTGTACATATGTTATTGAAATCATCGAATTCCTCCTCGATACCGTGCGATATATCTTGGTTTTCTTATCTGATGAAGAGAAAAAAAAAATAGAGTCAGCGTTTTCTTATAGATGTTTACGGTTTATATATGACTCATATATTAGACCATGTAAGAGGTGACTTCAAGTACTTCAAGACTAAAAGTAGTACCAAGAGTGACCGAGAACAGAGAAAAAATTGGAAGATAATATTTTCGTACCAATATTACAGGATATCAAAGCAAGTTCACATGGCCTGGGATAAATATATTGAGTGTCAAGCGAAGACGAAAGACTGAATGCTACCTGAAAGCTTGCATAACAAACCTTTGCATTGTATTGTCAGCGGCGACGAAAAATTGACTTAGTTTGAAAATGCAAAACATATTCTCTTGTTTTTTTGACCAGTCACTTCAGGGATGTTCCCTATTATAGGAGAAGCAAAGAGGGAGTAGTGCTGGTGCACGTTTGGTATAAAAACGAAACCCAACACACCTAGGCATGGTGGGAAAACCAAGTGCTTGTAAGTTGTTCCAAAGTCGGCCGAGGTATTTGCCGTGCTATATGCAGGCAATTCCAGGACGAGTAGGTGGGAATGACGAAAAAGTCTTGTGATTCTGGTAAAAAATTAAGTTCGCGTATATATCTCTTTTATCTCTGTACAGCACTTGACCTGGATGTGCGTAAGTCCAACATAAGCCGATATTCAAGAATATCGAGAAACTTTTGCTACCCTTGAGCACCTTAGTCGAGTGTCCATGCAGTCGAGCGTCTCCAAACAGGCTTTGGCGGCTCCCGTCCACACATGTGATATATGCTCGCCGTTGACTGCATGTTTTCACATTCCGGATATATGTTCTGTCCAACGAACACCATTTTATATTCTCATGTCCAGAACATCAAGAGATTCTGGTTTTCTCTTTCTATGCATTAAAAGGCAGCACTGAGTTTCTCCTTTCAGTGTGACTCTATAATGATATTTTTACAACGTCGCGATATAATGTATCATTCATCAGGCAGCGTTTATTGTGTACTTCGGTGCTGCTAGATCTCTAGGTGAATGAGAACGTATGACACAGAGTACTGTTGTCTGTGAATTGGGTTTTCTGCCACGCTTAGAATATTGTTGACAAATGCCGGGAAGAGAGAAGGAGAGAAAATTAAACGGTCATAGGTTGATTCAGGCTAAGAATCAACGTCCACAACAAACTGGCTTTTAAATGTGGCCGCAAACTTTACATCTTCACTTACGCTACAGAGTTACAACTTCATCAAACTATTAATACTGAGGAGGACCAATAAAAAATAATCCATTCGAAAGTAGCGCTGAGCGAAAAACGATCAGACGGGATCTCACAGACAGACAAGACAAGTTCATCTTGCTTACAGACGCAGCATTAGCATGCGCATAAAAGCCGTTTAAGAATAAATTAAAATCATGTCACTGCAATGTATTCACCTGAGTTGATTTTATCGGATGTCATAAGCAGACAACCAGCTGCAGAATAATTTCTACTACTGCGAAGAGGATGAAACCGCTCGACTACTAACTTCATGGACAGTCACTCTTTAAAGTAATCCCCAAACTATTTGTTGCTTTCTTTCTTTCAGTCCAGGTATGCCCTCTTTTCGGTGACGGCTATAGAGTAGAAGATGCACGGCATTGTTCTGTTTTTTAAAACACCTAAATATTGGAATATTTATGTCAACAAAAAGCAACCCAGACCAAGCCGCTACGTGCACTATATTTAGTTCTTCTTTCCACATGTCTTGTACATTGCGTTTTTATTCGTTGATCTCGTCTGCTTCAATTTTGTTAATTAATTAATTCCCTTTATGGGCTTTATAACACTCTTCTCCTAGAATTGTACGACAAGCGCTTGTGAAATGTTTCTTTGCATGCTGTTCTCTCCAAGAAGCTGAGCGCCATCTATACTGCACCTTACTAGTCTACTGACTTATACCCAGCTTTTCCGTAATTTCTTTCACAGTTTAGTCTGCGGTGCTCTATTTTGATCCAAGGAACTAGCATTACTCCTAAGTAACTATACCGTCAAGTATAATAAGCTTTCTTTTATCCAATTTTTGGTTATTACTTTAGACAAAACTTACTA